TTGCCTCCTGTGACTTGGGCGGTGTGGCTTGAGCACTTGCTGGTGAAGACTGAGGCAAAAAAGTCATTGAGTACCTCAGCCATCTCCCTATCCCAGGTAACCAGGTCTCCTGCTTCCTTCTGGAGAGGGCCCACATTTTCCCTAGTCTTCCTTTTATCACTGAGGTACCTATAGAAGCTTTTCTTGTTGCCCTTGACATCCCCCTGGCTAGATTTAATTCTATCATCAGGGCTTTAGCTTTCCTAACCTGATCCCTGGCTGGGATACACAGAGCATTTCACTATTCTGGACCAATTAGTATTTCTCTGCAGTGGTCAAGATCTGGGAGAAATGATATACAGACAAAATACCACTAGTTCCGTTTCCTCTTCCCTGTCACCCATAAAACTACGCTTACAATATGAAAATCGACACATGACAAACTTTGGCTAAATATCCTTTACAGTTCTTGCACAGAGCACCCATAATACCATTACTTTCTTACTGTTAAGTAATATTGAGCTTGTCCCAGTACTTTCCGATACTTTTTTTAAATAGTATTTGTGCACTTCAGCAGTACCTTTCTATTGGTGACTGTTTACAGTAGCAACTGCTGTTCCTAAAAATAAAAGGTCTATTAAAATCTACTTTTTATATTAAAAAAAAAACAAAACCCAACAACATGATCTGGAACTATTTAATTATGCAAAATATGCACATTTACATACAACAGAATGTTGGTTCAAATAACGTCACTGTAATGTTTCACAAGCTTTTTTTTCGCCACCAGGTCTAAGATTGTAAGGAAAAAAAGTCTGATGTTTAGTCATCTCTGTAAAGATGAAAAAAACCTGTTTAACACATTATACAACAGAGTAACTAGCCAGTATTTGTTCCTTTACTCAAACTTGAATTTTATTATCAACTGATCTTGTTCAGTTGGGCAGGGCATAACCAAAGACTGGAAGGCTTAACCTGCCTCTCAATTATGGTAGTTCAATTATGAATGCAAAGTTTTAATTCCTATTAAATTGTGCATCAAGCAGAAAATCCGTAAGGTGCTTCAGAAATGTGAGTTTAACCTGTCAACATAACTATTTTTCTGCATACTTTGGTGTGAATTCTTCAGTATGGCACAGCTGTGAACCTTCTAAAAGATATTATGAACTATACATACTTATCTAGGACTCCTTCCTTTAGAAGGGCTTTAGTCATGGTCTGCAGCACTGTCTCCAGGGCAGTTTGAAGATAAATCTTCAGAGTCTACAGGATAAGCAGAGAAAAAAGGAGTAATTCCAGCTCAGAGGAAGGGGAAAAAAAGTTCCTAGAATTATTTGAAGAATCCATGTAAAGCAGATTAAACAGAATTCAAGAAGGTTTGCAAGTTATTAATTCCATACTTTGTCTTAAAACAGTGAAGACAAATTCTGCCCTCTTTGGTGCAGTGAAACTGGATAGTGTTCTAACTGTTTCAGAAACACCTGCAAGCTTTCACAGCTTTTTATGGTACTAGTTTTTCTCAGAACAAAATTCAGATATGAACATCAATTCAAATAAATGCCAGTATGGTTGGTTGTGGTTTTTCGTTTTTTGTGTGTGTGTGCACATAAAGACCTAAAAACTGGTTTAGAATCAAAATGTACACAGCTTTGTGCAAAAAATAGCAATCTGGAAGGAAAATTTGCTATGTAGATTTAAAAGACTGCACTAAGAGAAACATAAAGGATATATTGTACCATTTGAGTCTAGCTGCATAAAAAAAAAGAAAAAAAAAAAAGGGTTACTCTCACCTTCATAGGTCGTTCCACACCAAATGCAGTAAAAGTGTTGTTCTCTCAAATAGGCAGTCAGGATGTGGAGCTTTTCTGATACCTAGAGATACGTACAGGAATGCAATGATCTGGGGCTCACGTGACATAAACCAGTTTCAGCTACTAGCTTTGCTAAAATAGATTGTTTAACCTTTTGCTATGGAAAAGCTACACAATACTGTAGCTCCGTAAGGCACAAAGTTTCCCCAGTTTGTAGCATATGGCACAGGAATTCATGATCTCTGGAAAGTTAATGGCTGTTGTTTGCTCATCCTTCTTTCCAGCTAAGAAACCTGCACTGAAGAGAGCGCTAAAAATATTACCTAGCTACCTTATTTCAAGTATATGATATTTCTGGTGGAATTTTTCACACCTAATTTCTGCAAATCAAACACATAAGGCTAACAACAGAGGTGTAATCTAGTTCTCAAAAAATGTGAATTTGCAGTGTCTATCTTGAGATAATCTGTGAAGCATTTTCAGAAATTACTTACTGATTCTAACATTCAGTCCAAGACATGAGATGAGGCATCCAAAATTTAAAACTCAAAAGCAAGTAACTTTGATCAAATACGTGATCTTGCATATCTTGGCTAAGACACAAAAATATTTAGAATTTAATTCCTAGGCTACTTTTTCCAAAGATCAGCTTCAAAACAGATGAGCAATAAATCAGTGGTTTAATGTTTTATATTTTATCATGTAACTGCTATAAAAATCACTGCTCGAAGACTGCAAAGAGGCCATTCGCTACAGCCTGGAAAATGACATGTATACATATATCCTTTATACATGTATGTATACATACATACTTTTAAAAGGAATTTGAAATTTAATTCTTAATCAAGCCATGAATTTAGTTGCAGAGCTTACACTTAAGTCTGAGGTTGCGCATTCATCTTCCTTGTCTTCCTCATCCATTTTGTCTTCCTCTTCAGGTTCTAGCCAATACCAAGTCTCCTTGGGAACGTCAATATCCTTAAATAATGAAGGATTTAAATGAAAATCATCTGCCTTTGTAGGTTTTCTTGTAAGATGCTGGATAAAAACAATTTCTAATAGGTGAGATCTTAGGTTTTAAAACTTTCCTGTATAGTGTAACCAAGAACTAAACCTGTACTGGGAAACTAAGTACAGTGGTCCAGAAGAAGGATTATTCCCTTTTTAAAAACAAGTAAATGCATGCTAACATTAAGTTCTATAATATCTATGTTCAGTATGTGTAAGGCTACACAGCAAACACAATCTCACACCAAGGCTGTGAACAGACACCCTTTTTTATCAGTTGAAGACATGCTGCCTCAAGTTACTTTGTCACGAAATCACACACTGCTACCTCATCCACCTCAGGTAAAGCTGAAGAAGAGTCAACAAAGATGATCTAAGCTAATTCAGCTGACTTCGTTCGAAGCAGACTAAGGAGTATCAAACAATCTCAGCAGAACTTGTGGGGTGGCATTAACCTCTAACAGGTTAATAGAGAAAAGAAAAATACTTGAAGTTTTCAAGTGGCAAAAATTTATAGTAGTTCACTGCTATTACCTGTGTTATTCCTTGCAGGAGGAAGGTACTTTGTTTTGGGTTTGATTTTTGTTGAAATTGCTGAATCTGCCGATTCCTTCAATCTCCCTATCCTTGGAGATACTCAAGAGCTGTCCAAACATGGTCCTGGACAACCTGCTTTAAGTGACCCTACTTCAGCAGGGGGGTTGGACAAGATGACCTCCAGAGCCACTTCCAATGTCAGCCATTCTGTAATGATGTTGCTCCCTCACTTGGGGCAAACAGCACCATCATTTAGGACTGCCTGACATTGGCTACTAAAGATACACCGACAGCTCAAAAGTAACCGTGAGAATGCAGGAACAAAACCAAGTGAGCTCTGACGACCAGTTCTTCTCCAGGTACCCAGCCCCCTGAGCTCAAAGACAGGAACAAGGAGCAGAATGAAGCCCCCATAACACAAGGGGAAATGGTCAGCGACCTGCTACACCACTTGGACACACACAAGTCTATGGGGCCAGATGGGATCCACCCAAGGGTACAGAGGAAGCTGGTGAAGTGCTCACCAAGCCACTTTCCTTCACTCCAGTCCTGGCTAACTGGGGAGGTCCCAGACAGCTGGAGGTTAGCAAATGTGATGCCCATCTACAAGAAGGGCCAGAAGGAGCACCCAGGGAACTACAGGCTTGTCAGCCCAACCTTGGTGCCAGAAAGGTGATGGAGCAGATCAGCCTGAGTGAGATCACGAGGCATGTGCAGGACAACCGGGTGATCAGGCCAGTCAGCACAGGTTTATGAAAGGCAGGTCCTGCTTGACTGACCTCATCTCCTTCTGTGACAAGGTGACCTGCTCAGTGGATGAGGGACAAGCCGTGGATGTTATCTACCCAGACTTCAGTAAAGCCTTTGAC